AGCCTACTTGATTTCAGCCAAGAGTCGGGTTTTGTCCTGGTCATAGCCTACTTGATTTCAGCCAAGAGTAGGGTTTTGGTTCTGGTCCTAGCCTACTTTATTTCAGCCAAGAGTAGGGTTTTGGTTCTGGTCCTAGCCTACTTGATTTCAGCTAAGAGTAGGGTTTGGTTTTGGTCATAGCCTACTTGATTTCAGCCAAGAGTCGGGGTTTGTTCTGGGCCTAGGCTACTTGATTTCAGCTAAGAGTAGGGTTTGGGTTTGGGCATAGCCTACTTTATTTCAGCCAAGAGTCGGGTTTGGTTCTGGTCATAGCCTACTTCATTTCAGCCAAGAGTCGGGTTTTGTCCTGGTCCTAGCCTACTTTATTTCAGCCAAGAGTAGGGGTTTGGTTCTGGTCCTAGCCTACTTGATTTCAGCTAAGAGTAGGGTTTGGTTTTGGTCATAGCCAACTTTATTTCAGCCAAGAGTCGGGTTTTGTCCTGGTCCTAGCCTACTTGATTTCAGCCAAGAGTAGGGTTTTGGTTCTGGTCATAGCCCATTTGATTTCAGCCAACAGTTGGGTTTGGTTCTGGTCATAGCCTACTTGATTTCATCCAAGAATCGGGTTTTGTTCTGGTCATAGCCTACTTGATTTCAGCCAAGAGTAGGGTTTTGGTTCTTGTCATAGCCTACTTTATTTCAGCCAAGAGTCGGGTTTGGTTTTGGTCATAGCCTACTTGATTTCAGCCAAGAGTCGGGTTTGGTTCTGGTTATAGCCTACTTGATTTCAGCCAAGAGTAGGGTTTCGTTCTGGTCATAGCCTCCTTGATTTCAGCCAAGAGTAGGGTTTTGGTTTTGGTCATAGCCTACTTGATTTCAGGCAAGAGTAGGGTTTTGTTCTGGTCCTAGCCTACTTGATTTCAGCTAAGAGTAGGGTTTGGTTCTGGTCATAGCCCATTTGATTTTAGCCAACAGTCGGGGTTGGTAGAATGGGGTTTTGTTCTTGTCATAGCCTACTTGATTTCACCCAAGAGTAGGGTTTTGGTTCTGGTCATAGCCCATTTGATTTTAGCCAACAGTCGGGTTTGGTAGAATGGGGTTTTGTTCTGGTCATAGCCTACTTGATTTCAGCCAAGAGTAGGGTTTTGTTCTGGTCATAGCCTACTTGATTTCACCCAAGAGTAGGGTTTTGGTTCTGGTCATAGCCAACTTTATTTCAGCCAAGAGTCGGGTTTGGTTCTGGTTATAGCCTACTTTATTTCAGCCAAGAGTAGGGTTTTGTTCTGTTCATAGCCTACTTGATTTCAGCCAAGAGTCGGGTTTGGTTCTGGTCATAGCCTACTTGATTTCATCCAAGAATCGGGTTTTGTTCTGGTCATAGCCTACTTGAGTTCAGCCAAGAGTCGGGTTTTGTTCTGGTCCTAGCCTACTTGATTTCAGCCAAGAGTAGGGTTTTGTTCTGGTCATAGCCTACTTGATTTCAGCCAAGATTAGGGTTTTGTGCTGTTTATGTACATCATGCCGTACTCTCGCTACCATACGTTTATTACTCACAGGTCAGCTTTGATAGTAACAAGTGCCCGTTTGTTTTATCTTTGTTGTTAAAATACAGCATACCGGAACGTTCCAATAAAACCGTTATCAATGTGCATGATGTTGTTATTACTGGCCAATGACGCACATCTTTACATAATGCTGGTGTGTAATTCAGACTCAAAGAAAAACACTAGTAAGAGTTAGATTATCATACGACAACAAATAACGTTGCCCGACACACACAGCCTTGTTTGGCTCGGTACTCCCCGGGGATGAGTTATGGCTGCTGGCGCTAGGGATACGGAATGATGGATGTGTTCTACAGTTCAGATCAATTCATCTTAATTAATTACCCGACATTTAATAAGTTTTAAACTGGTGCGGTTTGTCTGGAATAGGATATATCTCCAGGGCTGAAAGGGCGTTTGACGTATCCGTAGCTAGAACAGCCTTATACCAGGGTAAACGTTTCAACAATTAGATAGCCATGGCCTTGGGCTACTGCCAGATCGAAGGGATCGCAATATCCGTTTTGACTCCCAGTATTTACAAAGCCTCATTGCATTCCTTCCTGCTTTCGTATTCTTGAGTTTTTGGGGCGAGTCATTTTCTATTGTAGGGGATATAGCGCAAATGCAGCGCATGGCAAGTGTATAATGAAAAATTGGCGACAACTATCCTACTCTTTCTTTACTTGTGTTTCTATTGTTGATCTTTATTCTTCTTAACGCCTTCTTTGCACCATCTCACTTTTGCCTGTGTTACAAACAGTCGCCCATGCAAGGAGTGCAATGGGTTCCGTTCTTAGACCGGGAAATACCAAAATATTTAGTCCTTGTTATTTCCTGCTAAACGTTCAGCATTTAGGGTCAGCACAACACCTGGTTTATCCGTTGTCGATATAATGTGACCAGGTGGAGTTATGTGCTGGGTGTCTTCGGCAGGGTCTGCACTATTGCAAAGAGGCAGATACACCAACACATCGCCTCCTGTACACTCATATAGTACACACAAAATATTATGCAATTGGACGAGATTCTACAAGCCATGCTGTATCAAAGGCACACATATGCAATAACTCGTTTTATGAAGATTTTTAAAAACAATTCAAACGGAGGTGCATGTGTACTAGTACTTGACTCTGTCTCCCTTTGAATCTCTGTATCAGCAATATTCTCGCTACTCTCGACTGATAAAATGTTCTGTAGATTCATCAACACCAGGACATACTGGACAAAGAGGCATATGGAACTAACAAACAAGCAAAAACATTATTTAATTTTATTCTTTGAAGAAGAAAGATTTTCATTTTGTTCGGTAATATTTTCATCTACAATATATATTCTTTTATATCTGTTACTAGGAGCGGGCAACCGTTCAAATATCAATATATTGCTTGTATTTGAAACAATATGTAGAATGAAAAACATATATTACTTACTTTTGTAGTTTTTAAAAATAGTAGCAAAATAATCGTAAAATATAATATTAGAATTGATTTTTTTGTAAATCTACCCAGCAATTCATATCAATAAAGACTACACTTCAGTTAGTTTATACAATAACTCATATTAATAAAGACTACACTTCAGTTAGTTTATACAATAATTCATATCAATAAAGACCCCGCTACAGTAAGTCTATTAGCAGCTAAGGTCATTTAAGGACGTGGACAGTCCGTCTACACATACAAAGACATGTTTTGGCGTTGTTGGACATTGTAACCGATGAAATGCTCACTGATAGACATTCTATAACACATGACCTACACATTTGTATAACACTGTATAAGACATAAACAGAACTGAGAACTGCATGTTGTTTTACATTATATAAGAGATGGACTTAACAAAGTGTGATAGTGTATATTGTTTGAATATATCGTTTGATATTGTATATCGTTTACTAGTGTATATCTTTTGAATATATCGTTTGATATTGTATAAGACAAAAGCAACACATCTGAAGTATTTTAAAATATCATTTCAATAAAAGTGCACCTTATTTCCGCATTTCTATGTTAGGTAATGCTTTACGACTTTGATGTTGGAATAAAAGAATGTCATTTGCATCATCTTTGTCTTTCAGTCTCCACAGCGACCGCCGCCATGTTGTGATCTCGACCAATCTACGTTAAAACCATGATTTCCGAAGACCATGACAAGCGATGAAAGCGCCAAAGCGTTTGAAGCTATCCTCACTCGTACACGTCCGTTCGGATTCTATCAGAAACGTCTCTTTTTGCTTACTACATTGTTACAGTCCCTATGCTGGATGATCCTGATGTACCTCAACTTCCTCAAGAAACATTCGTGGGAGGAACAACCATGTTTGAAGTCGGTGATAAAAGACATAGTTTCTGTTGGAAACTTTACCAATAGTACCGAGTCGCCTCTAGTACAGACGACAGCCATCTATACACGAGAATGCGAGGAGTCATTCAACGTCACATCACAAGTCAGATGGACGTTACCAAAGGTAGCACTGTCACATGTCATCAACACCTTACGTATTCATGAAACCGTTCTCATGCTCAAACATGGATTCTGTGCTCAAACCAGATTTCTTGTAACTCACTTAAATCGTGTAAAACAATAAAATTCAGATTTAAACATTGAAAACAATATTCGGCTTTGTGTCGATACGATTTTTTTCCAAATCATATAAAATCTAAGATTTTTTAAACTAATTTATTACTGAAACGAAAATTAGGCTTGAGCAGTAGAACGGTTTCATGAATATGGGCCCAGTTCTCTTGGATGACAATGACGAGGAGGCGTCACAGAGAAGAAAGGCGTATTTAAATCTACAATCTAATGTAAACAACCGTGTCTGGCGTTAATGTATTAAACTGTTCAAGGTGGTATTTACTGAAACCTTATATATCCCTGGATATCGTCTGTAAAATTGACTGTATAACGACATCAATATCACGAGTTATGTCCCTTTGTTACAGTGGCTGACGTGGGGACCAGACGCCATCCTCTATGAGTACGTTTGGTATGGACAGAATGGAGGTATTATTGCCGGCGCCTTCGTTGGAGGATTTTTTGGCGACCTTGTCGGTCGGAAGGTCATCTCATTCTTAATGTTCGCGTGCATGTCTATGGCACAGGGTATGGTGGCCCTGTCCGAGGACTGGCTCAACTTTCTCCTGTTCCGAAGTCTCGTAGGACTGTTCGCTGGTACGTAGTTCTGTTTCAAAATTGTTTTCTCAAAAACGGTTACAAGTAATTATGTATCTTCTTATTCCGCCGATACGTTATATGTTGCATTTTATTTACGACGAAATAAATTCAGCTTTATTTAAGAGACAGCGTGTATAATCCTGATTGTTCTTTTCCCTTTTGACTTTACATCTTTCACCTATAATCTCTACCAAGACTTGTATATGACAATGGTGCTGTTACAGGCGGTTTCGCGGTGACCAGTATGGTGCTGACCGTGGAACACGTAGGTCGGAACTGGCGTGATGTTTGTGTATGTTCCTGTCTGTGGACTCTCGGCATCATACTTCTATCATTCGAGGGCTGGCTCACACAGAACTGGCGCTACCTCGCCATCGCCACCTCCGCCACAAGCCTTCCATTCATTGGTACATATTTGTGAGTACTCTATAACTCTATCTGCTGTATTGAATAATTCCGACTAATTCGGATTAATGTTTCAGTGACATGTTTAAAATCGTTTGAAAAGTTTGCTCATGTTGTTTTCCATTTCTAGATAACAGAGCAGTCTAAAAAAAGAGACATACATATTCTGTCACATAATCATTATGAGACAAAGTCAAACAAAACTTCCGATGATTGATTGTATATGCCTTTCATTTTCCCGTTTGTGAATTGTGACTTGATGAACATGGTATCTTTGTATGGTGACCTGAAGTGTGACTAGACGGATGTTATGGTCGCCTTCATTACAGCTTTCGTACCCGTGTACATCTCTCTTTGACTCTTCTTTTGGGGATATTCCGAAGTCGATGAATCAACAGACTTTCACAAGTCACTAATGATTTTATAACTGGATTCGTCTCAGCAAAACACAAATAAATGTATATAGGATTGTATTTTTGGAGGGACATTCGTTGAGAGTAGAAGAACTTTGGATTGCTTGTGAAATTCTTTTAGATATTCTTTGAGCTATCGCTAAAAGTAAATCAACGAACCACGCGGAATAGCCAGTGTGTCTAAAACCGACCTCAATACTTATTTACAAAGCTAAAGAGTACCGATACTCGAAAACGTGTTTATTACTGGTCTTAATACTTAGTTACAAGGTTAAAGAATTTCCAATACCCGGAAACGTGTATAGTAACGGAGTAGTTGGAATACCGTTATCATTAGAACAAAAATTGTCTAAATCTATAGTTAAGTTTCATTGAAAAGTAGCAATTGGATTTTTAATAGGAGAACGGCATATAATGTCTCTATTGATGACCATTTATAGTTTTGGTTTAAAGAAGCTTAATTTGGGGAATACTGCGTGGGAACGGTTCTTTGTAGTTATCAGTTACGGTTGGTTTATCCACACAAACTATTAGCGTTATTAATCGCGACTTGTTCGTTATATGTAGGTTACTGTAATACATATACGACAAAGACACGGTGTTATTGTCCGTCTATATATATCTGTGTAGATGGACAAGTTTCGCCTTGTCGACCATAATGAGGCTGTTATCACTGACTGTACCGTCTATCAATGGTAATTCATACTGGTCATGATTTGTCCCGGGGGACCGGGCTCTGTTTCCCTAACTAGAGCATCAATTACAATCTGACCACTCTCCATTGTTTATTGCCCGTGTGTTGTCGGTCCAGGTTACTCAGTAGAGACGCGGTGCGCCGTTATGTGACTTATTGTTCTCCAGGGTTGCTCTCCAGGATGGAGCAATACGTCACAAATACATCTTTCTTTTAAGTACAATAATAAAATACTCAAACTAAATGATTTAGAATAGCCGGAAAGTTTCACAAATGATAATTGGTCGAAAGAATCCAATTCTGTTTTCTCTGAAGCATTTTAGGATGTTACAAATTACTGCAGCCGACAAGTAGGATGTCGGCTTTTGTGCAACTCGGGGTTCCGAATAGTATAGCCGTCACAGAGTTACTAGTAACTGGTATGATTGGCGGACGAGATTTACGGACATTTGCATTAAGACGAACTACTTCTGGACTGGGTTTTTTAATTCTCTGCCCTGATATCATTGAACATATGTTTTGATCATGTCGAAACGGGGGTCGGTTTGAAAGTATTTATATGTCTACGTAAACATTATCCTCAGTTTTATCACCTCTTCAACAAATTACAATTGTCTGTTTGTTCCACATTCACGGTATGTACGAAGTATGTTATACAGCATCAGTGAAGATGAAGCGATCCTTTAATTTCAGTTATATTCTATACATTAACTATTGCTATGAAGCGCTCGTGTGAGCTAGTATATCCGACATGTGAGCTAGTCTGTCTAACCTGGCTATGACGGACAACCCCGTTACTGTACAATATCCGTTTGGTACATATCCTTACAGTTAATTCCTGTGAGCTAGTATGTCCGCCATGTGAGGTAGTCTGTCTAACCTGGCTATGACGGACAACCCCGTTACTGTACAATATCCGTTTGGTACATATCCTTACAGTTAATTCCTGTGAGCTAGTATGTCCGACATGTGAGCTAGTCTGTCTAACCTGGCAATGATGGACAACCCCGTTACTGTACAATATCCGTTTGGTACATATCCTTACAATTAATTCCAGTGTCTTATACTTATCGTTTTAGTCGATCCAAGTGTCAGGTTCACTCCACTCCTTCTTTGAGTTATTCCCATTCAAATAAACCATCTTTTTCGTTTACATTAAATGATAATATTCCATAATTTTATCAACATATTCTCTCCTTTCTGAGACAAAAAATATGTTTCTTTTATTTTGAGATTTTTGGTAAAATATAATTTGTGATTTACAGTATATTTCCAGAAAGTTTCCGATGGTACGGATGTCGGGAAAGATTTGCAGAATCCGAAGCTGGTATCAGAGAAATAACGTCCGCAAATACTACATCTGTACCGGATGTGACGTCACTGTGTGATCGAGCTAGACTCGCCGTCCTTAATTCTATGCACAAGAGAACTCACACCTTCTCGGACTTATTCCGTACCAGGAAATCTTGTAGATACACTGTTGCTGCAATCGTGTGCTGGTACGTCTTCCGGAAATCTTCCTTGTTATCCAGAATGGAAAATACCGGCTTTTTACTAACGTTAACCAATGTTGTGTTAAAAACAAGAAACAAATTAGATTTAATCCTATTGTCATTATACGATATTGTCAAATCAGTTAAAATCGTGTTTCCAGCTCTGTAAGCTGTCATACATTGTAGAACTCTGTAAGCTGTCATACATTGTGGATCTCTGTAAGCTGTCATACATTGTAGAACTCTGTAAGCTGTCATACATTGTGGAACTCTGTAAGCTTTCATACATTGTGGAACTCTGTAAGCTGTCATACATTGTGGAACTCTGTAAGCTGTCATACATTGTAGAACTCTGTAAGTTGTCATACATTGTAGAACTCTGTAAGCTGTCATACATTGTGGATCTCTGTAAGCTGTCATACATTGTAGAACTCTGTAAGCTGTCATACATTGTAGAACTCTGTAAGCTGTCATACTGGTTATGATACTGTAAATAAGATTACCTTTCCATGTACACATGATAAAATATATATTTCCAAATGCTGAGTATCGTACTGAACACGGCTGTAAGCCCACACTTTTTGAGGGCGTCTTGTAGTGCCAGTATCGCACTGAACACAACCGTAAGCCCACACCTTCTGTTGCCATCTTGGAGCTTTACCATCCCCCTCCCTCCGATGGTACCATCTTTGTTATCAAAGATGCTAAGATTATTTCCTCGTAGTTTTGTCCCCTAACCATTTTAGTAGAATCTGGAACTTTAAATTTAAATAATTTGTCCAGCCCACCTGCAATGAAAAAAAAAATCTGGGCAGCATGAGACAAGGTCTCCAGCTTCTCTCCCAGTATTAATTGTACGTTGCCAACAATTGGCTCAGCTGTTAACTATTCAACTATAAATTTCCGGCCAGTATTCCCTGGAAATTCTGAGTCGAATGGCTTTCATCAAAAATTATGAAATAAAAAATATTAATCTACAAACCAACCGCTGTCACCAAATCTTAGCTTACTAATGATGTCTGCTTACTCACGTGGCGGAGAAGTACTCGTACGTCCTCTTGCTTCAATCAATTACCACGATCCCTTTATATCCCTTCCTTTCTTGCATGTTCTTTTTATACTTTCGGTGTTCGTTTGTAATTCCTTAATTGTTAACAGAATCACTTCCTGGTTAAAAAATAATGTTTTAAAAAATACCAAAGATAATCAAAGTTTGAACCTTGAATATTTTACTATAAACAAATATAAACTATGCGTTAATATTACTGGCTATGGATGTTACAGGTCAGTGAGCTGCGCCGTTTACCGGTGTTTACTGGAGCGGATGGATAGCCTCACGGGAAATGATTACATCGACATCTGTATCACATACACCATCGATCTCCCCATTGTCTTCTCCGCCATTATCATCAACAAATGGTATGTACCAAAAAACAAATATTGCAACAGAAGGAAAAAGAAAAGTTATATACTATACAGCGTCCACAAACATGCAAGATACTTAGTAGAACATCGAGTGGTCAGAAAGGACAACCACAGGAACTAGGTCGAATCTCGTACAGATACGAAAACACCCAGCAAGAACTCAGAAGAATCTCAAGTGCATACGAAAGCAAGAACAGGAACTAAATAGACGCCAAATATAAGAACAGGAACTAAATAGACGCCAAATATAAGAACGGATGCCCACAGAGTGTAATGCGTTTCTATATGTCATGATGGAGAGTATTAAGGTCGACACTGATCTAAAACATGTCATCTGTCATAGTTAACAAATAACCATGGTAGAACAGGAATGTTGCAATTTAAAATCAGATCGCCGTCATTGATAACAAATAATAACAATAGTAGAAACCAGGTCACAGTGAGAAACGTAAAATTTGCACACAGCTAAAACTACCGAGCACGTCAGCGTCATATACCGACATACCCCCACAGACAGACAATAATGGTCAACTCTATATCAGGCTTTTAAACTTATTTTCACGATCGTGAACTTCCCTTTCCTCTATAGTAATAAGTCAACCTATTCTACTTCCCATGGTAAATTCGCTACTCCAGTACCTGTTCTGAGTTTTAAGGTTTTGTGGATAGATGTGATAATCGGTCCACCATCGAGGCTTCAATATTCGTTCGTTGAAGACATTGTACAGGTACCATCCTATCCCGATTTCCAGCTATACAAGACTTCTTCCATGATTCAGGACTGTGTCTTAGATCATTAACAAACAAAACAACTTTCTGTAAATAACAGGAGACGCATTGACAGGTGTCACAAGGTTATTTTCGGAACAAGACTTCCTTTTGTTATGGTGTTTCCTGTTGATTTGGAGTTTTGTAAATTATCTGTTGTTTAGGTGTCTCCTTTCCTTTTGTTATGGTGGTCCTGTTGTTTTGGTGTCTCCTTTCCTTTTGTTATGGTGTTCCTGTTGTTTTGGTGTCTCCTTTCCTTTTTGTTATGGTGTTTCTTACGTTCATCTTATTTTTGTGTTTCCTTTGTTCCTTAGTTCTGGGCCCGTATTCATGAAACCGACCTCGTGCTAAAGCATGCAATTTGTGCTCAAACCTAATTTCTTGTTCGATTGATAAATTGATAATAAAATCTTATTTTAACCATGATTTGGAGAAGCATTGAAAAGACTTAAAGCCGAAATATATTTTTAATATTCACATTTGACTTTTTTTATCGCTTTGACATGATTTTACCTTCCTGTTGTTTAAGTTACTCCTAAGTTCCAGGTGTTTTGATGTATCATCGTTTCCTATAATTTTGGGGTCTTCCGAGTTCCTGGTGTTTTTAGCATCTAATGCGTTCCTGTTCTTTTGAAGTCTCCTCGGCTCCTATCTATTTTCGTTACTCCTGATTTCCTGTTGTGTTGGGTAGTTTCTAGCTTCTGTTGTTTAAGATGCTCCTAAGCTTTTGTTGTTTTGATGTATTACCGTTTCCTGTAATGTTTGCGTCTCGTATGTTCCTAGTATCTACTCGGTTCCTGTTATTTCCTTGATTCCTAGTATCTCCTCGGTTCCTGTTATTTCCCTGATTCCTAGTATCTCCTCGGTTCCTGTTATCTCCTCGGTTCCTAGTACCTCCTCGGTTCCTGGTTACTCCTCGGTTCCTGTTATCTCCTCGGTGCCTGTTATCTCCTCGGTTCCTAGTATCTCCTCGGTGCCTGTTATCTCCTCGGTTCCTGGTTTCTCCTCGGTTCCTGTTATCTCCTCGGTTCCTAGTACCTCCTCGGTTCCTGGTTACTCCTCGGTTCCTGTTATCTCCTCGGTGTCTGTTATCTCCTCGGTTCCTGGTATCTCCTCGGTTCCTGCTTTCTCCTCGGTTCCTGGTATCTCCTTGGTTCCTAGTTACTCCTCAGTTCCTGGTATCTCCTCGGTTCCTGGTTTCCCCTCGGTTCCTAGTATCTCCTCGGTTCCTGGTATCTCCTCGGTTCCTGTTCTCTCCTCGGTTCCTAGTTATTCCTCGGTTCCTGGTTTTTCCTCGGTTCCTGGTTTGTCCTCGGTTCGTGGTATCTCCTCGGTTCCCGTTATCTCCTCGGTTCCAAGGTACTCCTCGGTTCCTGGGTTCTCCTCGGTTCCTGGTATCTCCACGGTTCCTGTTATCTCCTCGGTGTCTGTTATCTCCTCGGTTCCAAGGTACTCCTCGGTTCCTGGGTTCTCCTCGGTTCCTGGTGGGGGCTCGGTTCCTGGTGTCTCCTCGGTTCCTGTTATGTCCTCGTTGCCTGTTATCTCCTCGGTGCCTGGTATCTCCTCGATTCCTGGTATCTCCTCGGTGCCTGATATCTCCTCGGTTCCTAGTTATTCCTCGGTTCCTGGTATCTCCTCTGTTCCTGTTATCTCCTCGATTCCTAGTATCTCGTCGGTTCCTGGTATCTCCACGGTTCCTGTTATCTCCTCGTTGCCCGTTATTTCCTTGATTCCTAGTATCTCCTCGGCTCCTGTTATCTCCTCGGTTTCTGGTATCTCCTCGGTTCCCGTTATCTCCTCGGTTCCAAGGTACTCCTCGGTTCCTGGGTTCTCCTCGGTTCCTGGGATCTCCTCGGTTCCTGGTTTCCCCTCGGTTCCTGTTATCGCCTCGGTGCCTGTTATCGCCTCGGTGCCTGTTATCTCCTCGTTGCCTGTTATCTCCTCGGTGCCTGATATCTCCTCGGTTCCTAGTTATTCCTCGGTTCCTGGTATCCCCTGGGTTCCTGGTATCTCCTCGGTGCTTGTTATCTCCTCGGTTCCTAGTATCCCCTCGGTTCCTGGGATCTCCTCGGTTCCTGGTCTCCCCTCGGTTCCTGTTATCTCGTCGGTGCCTGTTATCTCCTCGGTTTCTGGTATCTCCTCGGTTCATGGTATCTCCTCGGTGCCTGGTATCTCCTCGATTCCTGGGATCTCCTCGGTGCCTGTTTTCTCCTCGGTTCCTGGTATCTCCTCGGTTCCAAGTTACTCCTCGGTTCCTGGTTTCTTCTCGGTTCCCTGTTTCTCCTCGGTTCCTGGTTTCTCCTCGGTTCCTGGTATCTCCTCGGTTCCTGGTTTTTCCTCGGTTCCTGGTGTCTCCTCTGTTCCTGGTATTTTGGTGTCTCTTGTTAAGCACCACACGTAACTCGAGAAGGATTCAAAACACTGCAACGATTAGTGTATTCCAGAAAATTGACTTGTAAATAGTAATGTCAGCTGTTACTCTTTGCAGACCGAATAAACACTTAACACTGCCGATTTTGGACGTTAACGAGTAAGTGAAATATAATATCTTTAAAAGCAAGTTACCTGAGTGTCTCCTTTACAGAATTGCTTTTGATTTTAGCGAAGTCATTAACATCGAATTACGACGGTTATGATGTTAACTATTCTATATGAAATTATAGTAGTAGTGATGGAGTCTGTGTGATATAATGAAATACCCAAACATCAATAGCTAGCATTACGTAACATACCACACACACTGGGGCTCAAGTACAGTCCTCTGTGGGGAGAATAAAACACGTAATTCCCCAATATCAGGATTCTCAAATTAGGGGTATTAAAGGCTTCGTGTGAAATTATAATATAAATCGAAATCCTAAATGTTTGTAATTACATTAAACCCATTTACTTCGGCCCTCTGTAAAAAGAAAACAGATAAATGTGAAAATAACAATTCATTAATAACCACAATAAAGATAAAATGTATCCTAAATTCAGCAAATCTAGGTTTTATTTCCACATTAGCTTGTTATAACACCGAAATATTCTCACATGAGACTGCCTTTCTATTTACCTAAATTTACAGATTTAATAACGGTATCCTCAATGATCGGCCTGGGACCTTCAGTAGACCGAGCTGGTAGGGATGTTACAGCAGGCTGATCGGTCTACCCTGTGGGGAGCTATTTAAAGGGCTTTCCCAACCAATACTATGCGCGCGTACCCGGTTTCTCATTATCTGTATATTTATTTATTTAGTTCTTGGAACGGGAATTGATTGGGTTAATGTCTCTTGTCTTGAGAAATAACATACCGACAGACTATCATCCTGCAAATAGGAAGAGTGCACTGGCCTGATTTATTTTGTACTAGTTCACAAAGGCTAATGAGGAAGGGTGACTGTATTATATATATAATACAGTGTATCAGGTATAAGATATACATATATGTGGAGGTTTTATGTTAAGAAATAGCTTGAGTTAGAAAGACCATTACACTTTGTACATAATATAACTCGGAGTCAATAGGAACAACATTACCGAATTAGTTTCCACATTTTCTTAATTGTTTCGGCGTAATTCAACCGGTGCACATAACAGGAATTCAAGATTTGGTAACATGTACGAAACTAAGGGAACATAAACTAACCGATGTTCACAAAATGTACTTCCGTCTTTACGATAATCAATAATTTGATAATTAAAGTGACGTTAGTGTCTGTATCGCTTATTGAGTTTAAATATAATTGATATTATTACAGGTAATGTTTCAAGTTTGGAAGACAGACGAACAACTTGTTAAAATTACATAATTTTGCCGGAGTTTTATGTTTTGGCTTGGAACCAGAAGCATTTTTAGCGGAAATATGTCTGACGTGCGTCGTTGACTACACTGTAGGATCGCAAAACGGCTTTAAAACACTTCAAGATTCATTCAAGAACATTATATGTTTTTTATAATCAAATCGACAGCTCCCTTAGAGAATGCTTTGATGTATCTGCATCAAATATTTGGATTGAAAGTTAAATGAAGCGGCCGAGCACGCAACAGACTCTCCTGGGACGACAAACAAATCAATAACGAAAAAAATCGTGATTTATTTGATTTAGAAACCATGTCTTATTTAAAGGCTAAAATGAATTCCCAACTAGTGGAACACCTTTCGACCAGACACTCTGCTTTCAGGGAAAAACCTACAGGTGCTCATTTCTCCGGTTATAACCTGCATTAGTATATAAAGGGTATCCGAATATAAAAACACATGTAAAGCATTGGTCATGTGATCAGGTAATAGCACTACAATAATTTCGATGTTTAGTGTCCACGGCAATGTCATTCGTTAGTGTATACTCTGAATGCACGGTAGTCTAGTGGTAGGACGCCGGGCTCGTGACCGAAGAGTTGCGGGTTCGAGTCAGGGCACGGCACTGTGTTGTATCTTTGAGCAAGACACTTTACTCCGTTTGTTCCAGTCTACTCAGCTGTAAATAAGTACGTGTTTGGGCAGTGCTAGAATTGTAAAATGCTAGCTGTGAGCGCCAAAATGGCAGCACCGGCTGTTGAGAAAGATATTTGCTGGTTGCAAAGGCCATATAACCACGGATCATAATTTGTGAACCGCTTTGAGACAACCTACGAACAAGGTTGTTTTATTTTATTTTTCCGTGTCTTGTTGATAGGACCATTTGCCTTTCAATATCGGCCATCGGTGTTGCTGTCTTTGTTTTTCTCGTGTATTTACGATAGGAGCTTGTTAACAAGGCGGTATCGGCTATCACTAATGTTTGTTGTCGTTGCTATTCCCCCTTTTTTAGTTATTTACTTTGTTATTATCTTTGTCCATATATTGCCGCTCGTCATGTTTTGTTTTCAAGCTTGTATGATTTTGGCGATGCTATTATATATGCCCTATGGGAGCGGTATTCGTTGTGTTTGTCTGTAGGCTGTATCGGCGATATGAGCATCTTTAATCTTCTGTATTAGAATATATATTTTTTAATCATGTGTATTGAAAAATGAGCTTTTTCGCATTACAGTATCGGCCGTCGCTGGTGCCTGTTCCTGTACGGGACGTCATCAGGGTTCGCCCTTATGTGTATCATTGTCCTGCACATAACCAACAACCTGGACAAGGACGAGCAGATGGTCACCAGCATATCCGTGTTCGGCAAACTAGGGGTGACTGCTTCAATAGCACTCACCGGTCTCGTCACCATCGAAACCTACCCAACCGCAATCAGGCAAGTCCTTATCGACTCCATTTCATTTATTTATCCAAGGAACGAGTTATCGTCTGGTAATAAATATTGTATCGCAATAAAAATACATTTGACTCACTACCATACATGTCTTATCACAATAGAAACACATCACAAAGTAACACAATAGAAATGTATACTCATTTGCTGTCAGGTAGGTCTGAATGCATCCCCATAAAATATCTCCCCGTCGCCGTTCAGTATAGGTGTCTAATACTTCACTTGTCGAGAAAGAAACATACCATTATCACGATCAGATAATTTTCGAAGACCTCACTTCTCTTGTAATGGTTATATATCCTTACGCCACCAAGTAAAGGATCTTCGCCGCCATTTCCCGAGGCCACTACTGACCGATTTCACTTCTCTTATCGCCTTAGGGATATGGCCAACCGTCATCAGGTAAGTCATCAAATACCCTACTCCTCTCACTTCTCTTATCGTCCCACTGCAGTCAGGTAAGTCATCAAATACCCTACTCCTCTCACTTCTCTTATCGTCCCACTGCAGTCAGGTAAGTCATCAAATACCCTACTCCTCTCACTTCTCTTATCGTCCCACTGCAGTCAGGTAAGTCATCAAATACCCTACTCCTCTCACTTCTCTTATCGTCCCAATGCAGTCAGGTAAGTCATCAAATACCCTACTCCTCTCACTTCTCTTATCGTCCCACTGTAGTCAGGTAAGTCATCAAATACCCTACTCCTCTCACTTCTCTTATCGTCCCACTGCAGTCAGGTAAGTCACCAAATACCCTACTCCTCTAACTTCTCTTATCGTCCTACTGCAGTCAGGTAAGTCATCAATATCTCACTTCTCTTATCGTCCTACTGCAGTCAGGTAAGTCATCAAATACCCTTCTCCTTTCACTTCTCTTATCGTCCCACTGTAGTCAGGTAAGTCATCAAATACCTTTCTCCTTTCACTTCTCTTATCGTCCTACTGCAGTCAGTAACTTCAATACATTTATTTTGCCGATAAAGTGTGATAAGTGTGATGTGTGCCTACAGGTGTATGGGGACGTCTGTTGGGATCATGTCGGGCGTGGTTGGCTGTGCTGTTGGTAGACAGATCCTCTCAGTCGCCTCTAAAGTAAGTCAAATAGTAGACCAGTGATAACCTAGCTGGGGAAATTAGGATAGCCTTAAACAAAATCAGATCACATTTTAATTTCGGCTTTGACTTCACGTTTAGATCAAATAATTTGTTTCGCTGCTGTTTATCCAAAAATGATTCCAACCTTTTGCTATCTCACCGTGGATTGTGTATGCTACTTCTGGTACAGTTTTATTAGTTTATCTAACCCTCGGTCCTGTTTCAGAACTTTCACTATACTTTGCCTTACATTGGGTATGGAGTACTGATGACGATAGTAGGATTCTCCGGACTTCTCTTCTCGGAGACGCTGGATCGACCTCTACCGGACTTACTCCCCAGTCGACACCGCCTTATCGGCATAAAGGAAGTGAGTGTGTCCACACAGGCATGGGGAGGCGCAAGATGAGAGAGTAAAGGTGATCGACAAGATCGATTGGGAAAATTTACAGGTAAGTAAAACAAAACGTAAAGAGAACACTGAAGGGTGAACTAAACCAAACTCGAACTCAAAAACCGATGGCAGAATATAAATAAGCACAGGAAAGATTTAGGAGACCCTTGGAAAAAACACAATGAGTAGAAGACCATGTGCTCCGGAAGAGTGACCGTATTCTGTCTCCCGAACGACACAAACCATGCAAATCTAGGTCAAATCCAAGAAATATATCGCGTCCTCAAATTGAGGACCAGGGTAACGACAACGGAATAACAGGACACACTAAGGAGCACACTAAAGGACACCCACCTTTATATTACACGGGGAAATCGATTATTTCCTAATGAGATCGTGATGGCGACAATAAAGCTTGTCCATAGTAGTCATGGACCTGTATCTCTCCTTGTGTTATACATTTGTTCGTAGGCAATCGACATTTATCACGGAAATTGTCTTTGTTCCTGGGTTATGAAAACACCACGTTGTAACTATATACATGCATACACGTTCTAGTCCTAAAGAGACAAACACAATCATGATAACAGATTTTGTTCTTTGGTCAGCCTCGCCCTTGGTGACTTAGTTACTGTGCAATAACATGGAAACAGTCGATATACCTACCCTGCAATCATATATAAAACTGCTACGCCATGAACATACGAATCATTCATGCTACAAGGACGAGTCTTTGAATCTTCCCCCGATCTTGTGAAATAGTAACCAAGTCATTATATGGAAATGTTTGCGATCCACACTCTATATATACAACTGCTAGTGCGGAAGAGAGTAAACACGTATGTTATCAGGATTTATCTGGGATATGGCCCCAGCTCTGGGGACTATATAGACAAATGAACATGCATACGGATATCTAGTCAATTTTACTTCTCCAAGCAAACTTGGTTCGTGGGACTTCTGAATCAATTGCTTTATAAAGGTAAAGTTTAAAACATTTGAGCGCTCAGGTGCAATGTCCGAAAGGGGAAATTTGGTGCTAAATCTTCGAAGGCAAGCACATCTTGACCAGTCGGTTATGTTTCAAACAAATTTCCTATGAAGCATCCTTGGGATTAGGAAATCATATTTTATATAAAAGAAATGATATTGTCCTCTTCGTATTTAGAGGCAGATCCTGAAATGAGGACATTTTTTGCCATCATTATTGAAGAAATATTTTGCCATGATTGGTTAACTATATCCAGATGATCGACAAAGGCCCTTTGGGTATCTTGTCCACAACAAAATCTATAAAATGGTTTAATAGCTGCTGTGGTTCCGTGTCCAATGGAACTGTCATACTGTATACTAGGTAAGGGGTGTGTCGTCAGTGGGTAACGGTCACTGTTATCACGATAAAATCGTTCAACTTTCAGAAAGGGCCGTTTATTCCTGTAGAGAATTTTGCATCTGTCTGTCATATGTCAAAGAGAGAGTCTCCACATTCTTTGTAAATACCATACCAAGGTATGATGACCTTTTTAATTGCCTCGAGAATTTGGGAAAATAGTGAACGGTTGCTTTTCACCAAAATACATCTTGATGTCAGTGATAGATAGCACGTGTGCTACGTTAATGTTGGAGAGGTAAATGTTGGGGAGGTAAATACTGGGGAGGTAAAGCGATCTTGCAGTAGTTATTTTTCATGTCCTTTTCAAATGAAAACGGTTTTGTAAACACATAAAGTAACTCATCTGATCATTTACGCTGTGTTTTCAGATGTCCATGGACAGTTGGGTCTCCGTACGGGAGCAGGCTAGCCAGACCTAGGAGTTTTTACGTGGACCAGAATGCTCACTGGAGCAGACGTGAGGTTATATTTTGGCGGCAGCTGGAAAATTTTGAAGTTCTCGTTCTCGCGTTGAAGCGGTTGATATCTTCAAGTTTCAAGCGTCCGTGATGTGTAAATAATTGAACGTGAGCTGCGTCTCGACGCACGTGCAAACATCACAATGTGACGTTGTCGTGGTTCGAGTTACCTTTAGTGTAGATGGCGTGTGTGTCGGGTTGGACGTCATCGGGATTAGATTATATCTACACGAGTACCTTGTATAAATCCTGTATATCATCACCACAAAATAATAGCAATAAATTCGTTTTCTCAACTACATGTTCAGTTTTTGTGTAAACATATACATGTTCGGTCCTCGCATATACTTGCTATGTTACAATTTTTTACACTCGCTAGATACTAAATATGTATTTTGAGTAATCTCGCTTTATAGAGTGAAACCAAAACCCTGTTGTGTTGACCTCAGTTACGTATTGATAACATGCTAGTTAACATACATATTGGGAGCATTGATAGATTTTATCGTTACTAAAGGAAAGTGACCACTCTGGATGATACAAGTGATACAGTCGTGACGTCCAGGGGTTGTATAATTTACTCTATGCACCTTAACAATGACAATAAATACAAATACAATGGCGTCCCAATCTCTACAACCTGGTGATCCAATCTCTACAACCTGGCGTCCCAATCTCTACAACCTGGCGATCCAATCTCTACAACCTGGAGATCCAATCTCTACAACCTGGCGATCCAATCTCTACAACCTGGCGTCCCAATCTTTACAACCTGGCGTCCCAATCTCTACAACCGGGCGTCCCAATCTCTACAACATGGCGATCCAATCTCTACAACCTGGCGATCCAAGCTCTACAACCTGGCGATCCAATCTCTACAACCTGGAGATCCAATCTCTACAACCTGGCGATCCAAGCTCTACAACCTGGCGATCCAATCTCTACGACCTGGCGTCCCAATCTCTACAACCTGGCGTCCAAATCTCTACAACCTGGCGATCCAATCTCTCCAAACTGGCGATCCAATCTCTACAACCTGGCGTCCCAATCCCTACAACCTGGCGATCCAATCTCTACACCCTGACGATCCAATCTCTACAACCTGGCGTCCGAATCTCTACAACCTGGCGTCCCAATCTCTGCAACCTGGCGTCCCAATCGCTATAGCCTGGCGTCCCAATCTCTACAACATGGCGATCCAATATCTACAACCTGGCGATCCAATCTCTACAACCTGACGATCCAATCTCTACAACCTGACGATCCAATCTCTACAACCTGGCGTCCGAATCTCTACAACCTGGCGTCCCAATCTCTACACCCTGGCGTCCCAATCTCTACAACATGGCGATCCAATCTCTACAACCTGGCGTCCGAATCTCTACAACCTGGCGTCCCAATCTCTATAGCCTGGCGTCCCAATCTCTACAACCTGGCGTCCCAATCTCTGCAACCTGGCGTCCCAATCGCTATAGCCTGGCGTCCCAATCTCTACAACATGGCGTCCCAATCTCTACAACCTGGCGATCCAATCTCTCCAAACTGGCGATCCAATCTCTACAACCTGGCGATCCAATCTCTACAACCTGACGATCCAATCTCTACAACCTGGCGTCCCAATCTCTGCAACCTGGCGTCCCAATCTCTATAGCCTGGCGTCCCAATCTCTACAACCTGGCGTCCCAATCTCTACAACCTGGCGATCCAATCTCTACAACCTGGCGTCCCAATCTCTGCACCGTTTGAGTTTTAAGGTTAAGGTTACGGTGTTGAAATGATAACAGTATTTTAACCTGACTCTCTCAACCATCGTGAAAAAACTTTGACACGACAAAGTATGGACCTGAAGCAGAAGAGCTAGTCGAATCAAAGAGCCAGAAGAAAGCTGATACAACGTCACTCTGTCTGCTGATTATGGATTTATCCGTACCTCTAAGTAGTTCCACATGATTCACGGCATTCCATAATGTGATAAATACAAATATCAACTCAAATTGAAAGTTGCTCGCTTGAGCTTTTTTTCCCCAGTGACAGTCACATTACTAAAACTGTTGTACCACATTCAATATTCAGTTATCGCATTGTGGAATATTAAATATACAAAAACACAGAAACAGTCCAAGCCTATAATATGTTTCTTATATACGTACATATATATATAATAAATACCAACATACATCATTTTCATTTTTTTAAAGTTTTTAGCTATATAAAAATAATATCAACATGTTATATATATTACTCAAAGATTGTTAATAAAAAGTAGACATCATAGAATCGTGGACACGTGCTCTTTAACGACAGCTGACATAATAGACAAAGTCCGCGATATGTCGGACCATCATGTGACATCTATTGAGTGTACATTCTCCGGACGATATGTGTGACAGCTATTGAGTGTACATTCTCCGGACGATATGTCGGACCATCATGTGACATCTATCGAGTGTACATTCTCCGGACGATATGTGTGTAATCTATTGAGTGTACATTCTCCGGACGATATGTCGGACCATCATGTGACATCTATTGAGTATACATTCTCCGGACGATATGTGTGACATCTATTGAGTGTACATTCTCCGGACGATATGTCGGAACATCATGAGACATCTATTGAGTGTACATTCTCCGGACGATATGTGTGACATCTATACATCTAAATATTTAAATATAGCGGAGGAATGTAGTCCTTCAAAATAAGTTACAATCAGACCAAATGACAAACATTGGTTCAGCTTTGACATGAGATGTGAGATAACGTAAAGAGACAGATTTCTCCAAAAATATAAATCCAATCGATCTCCTAATAATTTTAAGAAACAACAATCTTAAAAAAAGGATAGAGAGAAAGGCCGAAATCTGCCCATTATGTGAGAGAATAGACTGAGCGAGGCTTTTCTCCTACTAAAACACAATAACCCTTTGTGCAAAATAATGGACCGCTATTGAACAAAATCCAAATAAGAATATTAATGCACACATATGTTTATGTCTAAAGCATTTGTGCTTGTACTTGTAGACGACACATGTGTTTGAGAGGAAAGGTTATCACGCAGTGCCTGTGGATCTAGACATCACTGTTATTGTGACCTAAACTTAAATTACATACGTCCCTGTACCTGACGCTGTACATGTGGGTACCTATATGTTTTAGATATATGTTACTGTGACCTAAACTTAAATTACATACGTCCCTCTACCTGACGCTGTACATGTGGGTACCTATATTATTTAAATATATGTTATTGTGACCTAAACTTAGATTACGTACGTCCCTCTACCTGACGCTGTACATGTGGATACCTATATTATTTAGATATATGTTACTGTGACCTAAACTTAAATTACATACGCCCCTGTACCTGACGCTGTACATATGGATACCTATATTCTTCAGATATCTGTTATTGTGGCCTAAACTTAGATTACATACGTCCCTCTCCCTGACGCTGTACATGTGGATACCTATAATATTTAGATATATGTTACTGTGACCTTAACTTAGATTACATCCCTGTACCTGATGCTGTACATGTGGGTGCCTATATTATTTAGATATATACGCTGTACATGTGGGTACCTTTATTATTTAGATATATGTTTTTGTGACCTAAACTTAGATTACGTACGTCCCTGTACCTGACGCTGTACATATGGATACCTATATTATTAAGATATATGTTATTGTGACCTAAACTTAGAATACATACGTCCCTGTACCTGACGCTGTACATGTGAGTACCTATATTATTTAGATGTATGTTACTGTGACCTAAACATAGATTACATACGTCCTTGTACCCGACGCTGTACATGTGGGTACCTTTATTATTTAGATATATGTTACTGTGACCTAAACTTAGATTACGTACGTCCCTGTACCTGACGCTGTACATGTGGGTACCTATATTATTTAGATATATGTTTTTGTGACCTAAACTTAGATTACATCCCTGTACCTGATGCTGTACATGTGGGTGCCTATATTATTTAGATATATGTTACTGTGACCTAAACTTAGATTACATGCCTCCCTGTACCTGACGCTGTACATATGGATACCTTTATTATTTAGATATATGTTACTGTGACCTAAACTTAGATTACATGCCTCCCTGTACCTGACGCTGTACATAGGGGTACCTATATTATTTAGATATAGGTTTTTGTGACCTAAACTTAGATTACATACGTCCCTCTACCTGACGCTGTACATATGGATACCTATATTATTTAGATATAAGTTATTGTGACCTAAACTTAGATTACATACGTCCCTGTGCCTGACGCTGTACATGTGGGTACCTATATTATTTAGATATATGTTATTGTGACCTAACCTTAGATTACATACGTCCCTCTACCTGACGCTGTACATATGGATACCTTTATTATTTAGAAATATGTTATTGTGACCTAAACTTAGATTACATACGTCCCTGTACCTTACGCTGTACATATGGGTACCTATATTATTTAGATATATGCTATTGTGACCTAAATTTAGATTACATACGTCCCTGTACCTGACGCTGTACATGTGGGTACCTATATTATTTAGATATATGCTATTGTGACCTAAATTTAGATTACATACGTCCCTGTACCCGACGCTGTACATGTGGGGACCTATATTATTTAGATATATGTTATTGTGACCTAAACTTAGATTACATGCGTCCCCGTACCCGACGCTGTACATGTGGGTACCTATATTATTTAGATATATGTTATTGTGACCTAAACTTAGATTACATACGTCCCTGTACCTGACGCTGTACATGTGGGTACCTATATTATTGAGATATATGTTACTGTGACCTAAACTTAGATTACATGCGTCCCTGTACCCGACGCTGAACATGTGGGTACCTATATTATTGAGATATATGTTACTGTGACCTAAACTTAGATTACGTCCTTGTACCCGACGCTGTACATGTGGGTACCTATATTATTGAGATATATGTTATTGTGACCTAAACTTAGATTGCATGCGTCCCTCTACCTGACGCTGTACATGTGGGTACCTATATTATTTAGATATATGTAAATGATGTACCACTTGTAACTGTTACCATTCACGCATGTACATTTGTATGTTGGTTGTGATGCACAAAGGCGTGTATGCCTATTGCTTAATAAGGATAACCATGTCAACACGAGATACCCTCAGCTAGCACTAGTTAGTGTGAGTCTACTGGACTTTTCAATCAGTCTAGGTGACAACATGTCCTCGTCAGGAGATGACCTCTTTGGATCACAGTCTGTCTATATCACTGTTTAA